GGTCCTTTAACTTCTTTTGGTGTTTGAAGTGTCTCTTTAAGACCACATTTTAGAAAATAATTTGATAAATCTCCCTTAATCTCTCTCCTTTGGAAATCACATGTTAGTTTATTGATACAAAGAGAGATCTGACTGCCGTTCTGGGGTCAAGAAGGATTTCTTTCCTAATTTGTTGCAAAAATGGAAGTGCTTCAGACTGAGTTTTTTGCCTTGTTTTGGATCAACTGCAAAAAACAGATGTGAGAAAGGCTGAACTCGATGGCCGCATGTCTCTTTTCAGCCTATGTAACATGGTGTTCTGTATACACAGCATCAAACCCTTACAGTACATAGGAAGGTGTTATATGCAGCATCACATCCCAAACAATACACTGTATGATATCTAAATCATCTCTTGCACTCTATATGCTGGAGGGAATGCATTTGCTGCTTACTGATAGTCGATAATTCCTAGGTGACCTTCACAAGGTCAGACGTACTCTCCATTTACCATGGAGTCTTTTGCATTAAATTCCCTTTACAGTTTTCAGAAATAATGCCATTGAGTTGGCCTTTTAACAAAGAGAAATCCTGCAGCGGTATCGTATGTTTAATGATGTAATAGGATACCACATGACACACAAACGCAATGAATAAATACCCAACGGAAAAAAGTGCAAGTGCAGGGTATCTTTTAATCTGTCCATTTATTTTATAGGAACTGTGTGTGCTATATATATGATTGGCTTGTACCTGTTATCTTAGCAGCCACACTGTTAAAAATGAGATATAAATTACAAATCAGAATTCAAAACTCCAAACGTCCGCAGGGGCCGTTATTTCCAATAACTATAGTGTGGCAAACCTAGCTACCTGAGACTATTTTTTCTTTATATCTGAGGGTTGCCCTAGAGAGACTGGTTATATATATATGGTGTTTGATGTGTTTGCTTAAAATGTGAAAGAGGGAATTTGTATGCTAGTGGCACGAAAGCCGCTAGCATTCATATGGTAGTTTCACGAACAGTGATTTTCAACACTGTTCGTGAAACGAACAAAGTACCGAATGGGAGCCCACACACAGGGGGTCGTGTGGCTCCCATTAACCGATTGCAACACTGTATCTATCGGCTGTTAATTTATTCCCAGGGTGGCCGTCGTTCGGCTACCGACCACGAGGCGGCGGCCCTTTTTGCCCAGCGGTGTTTGGTCGTTGAGTGCCTGGAACTAAAATCGGCTACTCGACGGCACGAACACCGCTGGACTTCCAGGCCGTTCGGGAGCGCCGGTCTTTCGGTTCTTTTTCCCCACTTATGCATTCGTGACTTTTATGAAGAGTTGATGTTACAATGTATTTCATGCGGCGTTCGGTTAATTGTGCTGGGATCTAAGCGGTACTTTCACGAAGTATGCGCTCAGACCCCAGCTATCAGCCGAACGGTCATTTGGTACATTGGCACGAATATTATACCAGTTACAGATTTTTATGTGAAAAGCCGGTTCTGCTGTACAGAGGGATAATCCACTTAGCAGGATATTCTTGTGGGAGTATCCCTCTCGTACAGCAGTGTATGGTGGGAGAAATGTCCTGTATGTTTAGTCCCCCATGTAGTCCCCTACTGTATAACCCCTGTAAAGTTATTAAGGAAACCCCTTGCATGGGGAATCGCATAAATACTGGAGCTTGTGAATAAAAACCTCAGTTGACTCCCAGAACTGTGTTTCGTCCGGTTACTGGGGGGATTTGGGATATTGCCTTCCTTTTCAGCGCTTTCCGTGGATTACCTTCTTTTATCAGCAGAGATACTGGGATTTAATATTGCAACTCCGCTACATATAGAAAATATGAAACAATTATTAGGTATCAGAGGGATTTCATCACAAACTCCAAATTGTACTGAGTTGAAATCTAAATGGCAAAACTGAAGGTAAAATAGTCACGTTGTGACTCTAAGTGGTGAACTATGTTGAGTTAGAGATTTTATTTCCAAATCAGCTAATTATGCCTACATTATCTGGATCTTGATACGCTATGACTTGGAGTTTAGAATAAAACCTAAAGATGGAATCACAATGCATTCTTTGGTTGTTACCAAATCCTACTAAATCAAGAACATCATGGATTTGTGTGTAGACTTGTGCAAAGTTTGTTCCTGGCAGTTCATCAAAGTTAAATTGATTTAAAAAAGATACTGCAGGCACTGTAGCTGATTAATCACATTGAAGTAGTTATAGTCTCTGGATTCCCGTGGCGTTGTACTTCAATTCAGCATTAAGCTGTTTTAATGCCCATCCCCTCTGCACTGCTTGAGCAAATGAGGAAGCATTAGCCTGAGCAGCAGTTGGTGGCTGCAATTGGCTGAGAGTGCCTATCACAGTGCCCATTGCTAGTATGAATGATTATAGCCGCAAGGAAGTGTGTATGGCCTTAGCCATACCTCCAGTGGGGGCTTGGATAAGGAAAGCCAGGGACCCTCAGTAATTAAACTCATTAAACTGCTTGAAAATGGTTTAACAGGGACAGTGCGAGGGGACTATGGCCAATTTAATGAGTTGAAATGGTTATGGTGACTACTGTGTCCACGCGCAAACAAAGTCCACCCACAAACAAATCAATCTGTTCAATGAATAACACCCCATACGTAATTCCCGGGGAAATCGATTTGTTCGGGTCAGACGGAGAGAGCATCGGTACTAGCAGCTGTTTGGTTCAAAACAACTTTGGCTATATGAGTTCATCCAATTTTGTTCTTATTTGTATTTGTTGTGTTTTTTAGAATAGAACAATGCAATTTGCTTGGAATACTGACTATGTTTCTACAGCTGCCAACAATATTACAGGTACGTAGTGGCAGGCCTGATTACATAGTTTGACATTTTCTGGGCAGAGGTACTTGACTTGTATTGCATTCCCTTTATATCTAATTATCATTATACATGTTTCTATCCCAATGGTAAACTCTTGTTTCCTTGTTTGAATTTTTGAGGTATGTCTATGTACCTTGTACATATTTGGTAACAAAGACATGTGGAGTGGGGGGGTGTCACTAAAATGCTGGTGGTTGTGATTTGACCATCATCTTGCAATATTTAATTCAAAATAAGTTAGCTCCATGAAAATGAGAGGTTTGGGCAGGTCCGTTATTCTAGTCTACGTGTTTTAACTTGGTTAGAAAGTCTTAACTCTCTTTTTAGTTAATAATTCCAACATGTACGGGTAAAGATGGGTGCAACGCTATTATCTAGGGTGATGTTTGGCATGACAGTAAGAGTCAGTGGGCTACTAGGATGAAGATGGGTGTGACATTAAAGGGACAGTATGACATAAGATTCAGTATGGATGTGACATTAGGATTGCTTGTGTGACACCAGGATGCAAATCATTGACATTAGAAGGGGTAGTTTGACACGAGATAAATAATCTTTGTGACATCGGAATGTAATGCTGTGTGTGTGACACTATACAGGACAGCATTACTCTGTGTGTGTGACACTATACAGGACAGTGTTACTCTATGTAATGCTGTGTGTGTGACACTATACAGGACAGTGTTACTCTGTGTGTGTGACACTATACAGGACAGTGTTACTCTATGTAATGCTGTGTGTGTGTGACACTATACAGGACAGTGTTACTCTATGTAATGCTGTGTGTGTGACACTATACAGGACAGTGTTACTCTGGGTGTGTAACACTATACAGGACAGCGTTACTCTGGGTGTGTGACACTATACAGGACAGTGTTACTCTATGTAATGCTGTGTGTGTGACACTATACAGGACAGCGTTACTCTGTGTGTGACACTATACAGGACAGCGTTACTCTACGGAATGCTGTGTGTGTGAGACACTATACAGGACAGGGATACTCTATGTGTGACACTATACAGGGCAGCGTTACTCTATGTAATACTGTGTGTGTGACACTATACAGGACAGCATTACTCTGTGTGTGACACTATACAAGGCAGTGTTACTCTGTATGTGACACTATACAGGACAGTGTTACTCTATGTAATGCTGTGTGTGTGACACTATACAGGACAGCATTACTCTGTGTGTGACACTATACAGGACAGTTTTACTCTATGTGTGACACTATACAGGGCAGCGTTACTCTGGGTGTGTGACACTATACAGGACAGTGTTACTCTATGTGTGACACTATACAGGGCAGCGTTACTCTGGGTGTGTGACACTATACAGGACAGTGTTACTCTACATAATGCTGTGTGTGTGACACTATACAGACAGTGTTACTCTATGTGATGCTGGGTGTGTGACACAGAGTTCTGTGTGTGACACGAGATGAATGGAGGATGAGTGTGTTACTAGGTCAGTGTAGCATGATGGCTGCAAGTGTGACATTTAGATTGTGGACTTGGCAGTGGGATGATTCTGAATGATGCTCTGTGTGACACTGGGGATATTGTGTGTGATGCCCTGTGTTTTGACTCTGGTGATGCTGTGTGTAATGCTTTGTGTGTTTTGACCCTGGGGATGCTGTGTGTATGTAATGATGTGTATGTGATTCTGTGTGTGTTTTGACTCACAATGCTGTATGTGTGATGCTGTGTGTGCAATGCTGTATGTGTGATGCTGTGTGTGCAATGCTGTATGTGTGATGCTGTGTGTGTTTTGACCCTGGTGATGCTGTATGTGTGATGCTGTGTGTGCAATGCTGTATGTGTGATGCTGTGTGTGCAATGCTGTATGTGTGATGCTGTGTGTGTTTTGACCCTGGTGATGCTGTATGTGTGATGCTGTATGTGTGATGCTGTGTGTGTTTTGACCCTGGTGATGCTGTGTGTGCAATGCTGTATGTGTTTTGACCCTGGTGATGCTGTGTGTGCAATGCTGTATGTGTGATGCTGTGTGTGTTTTGACCCTGGTGATGCTGTGTGTGCAATGCTGTATGTGTGATGCTGTGTGTGTTTTGACCCTGGTGATGCTGTATGTGTTCTGACTCTGGTGATGCTGTGTACTTGACATTTTCATACCCCCAGCAGCTGTTCCTTACCTTCTTGTCCCCGGGTCCGTGCACCAGGCTGGTGTTCTCGTTAGCGACAGGTTTTGGCGGAGGCTCCTTCTCCTCTGGCTGCATGTTTTGGGCTGGTGGAGCAGGCTGGCTGCTGGGGATATTCTCGCTTTCAGTATCCAGCTTTGCGGCTGCTTCTTCCTTCTCCATGATTTCAGCTTTCCAAGTGACAGTCTTTCTCCACCTACTCATGCAATACTTCACTCCTCCTCCCCTCTCTGCACTTCATCCCTCCCTCCCAGCTTCCCACACCACCTGCACTCCATCCCTCCCTCCCAGCTTTACATCCCACCTGCACTCATTTGCTCCTTCCTAACCCCGACAAAACCTGCACCCCTTCAGCCTCTACTCCACCTGCATCCCCCCCCACTCCATGTACAGCCCCAGTCTTGGTACCCATCAAGCCTTCGGTACCAGCTATCCTATACCATCCTTATTACCCCCACTCTGTCTATATTCCCTGGCTTATAACCCCCCCAATCCTCCTACACTCAAGTCTTAGTCCCCATCACTCCTCCGGTACCAGCTATCCTACACCATCCTTATTACCCCCACTCTGTCTATATTCACAGGCTTATAACCTCAACTCCCCCCAACCCTCCCTGCACTCTCTATCCTCTCTCAGGCTTATTAACCACCTCCCCAATCCTCCTGCACTCCATGTACAGCCCCAGTCTTAGTCCCCATCACTCCTCCAGCACCAGGTATCCTATACCAGCCTTATTAACCCCCACTCCTCCTACATTCCCTGTTTTCTCCCAGGGTTATTATCACCAACCCTCCCCCCTTTATGTCTAATGTACTCCCTGTGCATTCACAACCTTGTTATCCTCCCAGTCATCTTGCACTCCAAGCCTGTGGAGAAGATATCCATTTTTCAGACACTTGTGACTTTCCCATTTAGTTAAAGATACCAGCCTCACCAGGTAGGATCCACTAGTGAGACACATCACACATTATGATTGTATTTGTCTAAAAAGGATGAAATTAAAGAGACATCACACTGTCCAGATACAAATTAAGTAAAAATTACTGTTTTATAGATATGCAAATGAAAACTAACATGCATTAAACTATGCATTTTCTCATTTGGGGTATTTGTAAAAACAGCTTGCAAAACCTGTAGATCTTTTGTTTGCAGCCTCTACAAGCCCTCCCCTTCTAAGCCTGCCCAGATTTTCTGTGGCTGTTCTTAACCCCTTAAGGATTCCATTTTATTCCATAAGTTGTGTCCTTAAGGGGTTAATACAGCTTAATGAGAAGTCTTTGCAAGGCAGGTGCTCTGAGCAACTGCTGCCGCTTGAGTTTACCTCCACTAAGGTAACCAAACCAGGAAGTAACAGATTGAAAGCCAGGGGAGTGTAAAAAGGTTAATTTATAAAAGTGTCAATTTCTATTGAAATCTGCTCTTTATGCAAATTCAAAAATAGAAGACACAATCTTCACACATAAAGCTTTTTAGCAAGCTAACGTGCTTTAAGGGTCTGGTGTGTCCCTTTAAACATTCGAAATACAGATGGGGAAGAAGTTCTAAAAAAAGGGTTATCTATGCATTTCTTCTATTCATTGTGTGGGAAGAGGGACATCTACAAAGAGAGTGGAAGATGGTATGCAAATGTCACCATTGATTTAAGATATTAAACACTGCATCAATGTGAGCGCAAATACTTAATTTTAAAACTACAGTTAAAGGACCAATATAGTGCCAGGAAAACATACTCGTTTTCCTGGCACTATAGTGCCCTGAGGGTGCCCCCACCCTCAGGGCCCCCCTCCCGCCGGGCTCTGGAGAGAGGAAGGGGTTAAACACTTACCTTTCTCCAGCGCCGGGCGGGGAGCTCTCCTCCTCCTCTTCGGCTGAATGCGCATGCGCGGCAGGAGCTGCGCGCGCATTCAGCCAGTCTCTTAGGAAACCATTCATAATGCTTTTCTATGGACGCTTGCGTCTTCTCACTGTGATTTTCACAGTGAGAAGCACGCAAATGCCTCTAGCGGCTGTCAATGAGACAGCCACTAGAGGCTTTAGAGGCTGGATTAACCCATTTATAAACATAGCAGTTTCTCTGAAACTGCTATGTTTATTAAAAAAAAGGGTTAACCCTAGCTGGACCAGGCACCCAGACCACTCCATTAAGCTGAAGTGGTCTGGGTGCCTATAGTGGTCCTTTAAGTAAATAATAAGCAGTAAATGGGACAATATTATATCTCCATAGTAGCATTGGGGCAGCTGCACACTTTCAGACCTTTCTCCTGATTATCCTGATTACAGTATGGTATATTGATGTCATAAAAATGAGAGACCTGCCCTTTAAAACCCTCCACTTACCCTGCTATGGGGTATTTGTTAATAACTGATGGTCATTCTGTGAAAAAAAAAAATCTTTCTATAAATGTTAGTACCTGAATAATATAAGATATAAAAAAATATAGGAAGATAAAACCAGTGTCTGTAAGCAGGTATAATGCACAGATACAGTAAGTAAAGTATAACCAGGCATATGTTCTATGCAGTGCAGTGCAAGCTGCTAATGTTAATCGCGCTTGAGGCTGAATTAATGATATTACCACTGGCAATTTACTGCCTGTCCTGCGGCATCCTAACCACTGCGGTCTTATTTTTATATAACGACTGTGGATTTTTAGCTAAGTATTAGCACACCCTGTCCTTTGGAAACTGTAATAAATCTTGTCGTGAAACTCAATCATTACAATGGGTTTGCTGGGCAGTAATGCAATTACTGTAATGAAATCAATATGTAAAAAGTGCGATTCATTATGGAATAACCTGGCTCGCAGAGATCTCTGTCCAGTTCCCCCATTAGACCTGTAATGTCTAATTATTCCTTGCTATCACTGACGCTGAAGTCTCATTATTTCTACATTAGGCTCCCTCTATACGCCCTTTATTCCAGCAAAGCTTCAGACACATCTTTATATTTCAGTTAACCCTCACAGGAGAAGTTGGTTACTCATAAACAATTATACCAGCAAGGTCTTAATTTACAGAGTGTAAGTTCGTTTTGGCAGGGCCCTCTTCACCAGTATGTCAGTCATGTTTTGTTAGAATTTAGTGTTTGTTTAGTTTACTTATTGTACGGTGCTGCGGAATATGTTGTTGCTATATAAATAATTGTATTTATATTAAATACGTTAAAGGGATCATATTTGATATTTTTTATAATTAAAAATAGACAACTTAACTCCTTTTACTTAAACGCTTACTAAGTTCTACACTCACCCAATCTCTGCACAATCCCTGTGCCTCTATAAAACCCATCTATACTCGCCCTGTACATTTCTTTGCCTCCACTAATACTCACTTAATTTCTGTTTATCCATACACTCCCCTAGCTTCCATATTCTCCCATCTATAAAATCCTCTAACTTCCATACTCTCTATCTACATCTTTATTATTTCCCAAGAAATAAATTGTAAGACATCTAGTAAATGTAATTTCACTGCCTCTGTAGGCAGTATCCAGCCACTCATTGTGTCCCAGCTAGACACCGCTTAATGGCCTCTCTTTTACATCCAATCAATTTACTAAATCAACGCGCTACCTGCAAAGATGCTCCCGGTGTGCTGAACGCTCCTGGAGGAAGTCTCGCACCCAGTCAGACTTTCTCCATTATAGTGAAACAAAACAGAGGAAGAGTCTGCGCTAGTTCAATTGAGCAGCAACCCAAAAAGGGAGATCCCTCACGGAACCCTTATGTAGGAAATGCGAAAAAAGAGGGGGTCAAGGGCTGCGCTTAGGTAAAACAGATATGTTGAAATATATAAGATCGTGTATATGTAAAATAAACAGCGGTAATAAAATCAAATAAAGTTCATCCGGATTTTCTTAAAAATATAGAATAAAAACAGTCTCACTGATATGTAGTACCACGATATTAATCCTCAAGCATGGCTCCGTCCGTGTGGTAGGTAGTCCATATATGTGAAGATAAAAAACAAGAAAGAAAGCTGCCTATGGTGAAATATTGTTGGTCCTGATGTGGTATATAATCAAAGGAAATATGTTTCACTCACATTTGGTGGAGCTTATTGCCAGCTCTGGGAGAAGAGGCACTTAGTGGTTTGATCCCCAGTAACGGATATACTTAGATGTCCGGCTTGGGATTCCTGTGGTGTCGGCTAGGATCTACTTCACATATACGTTGTTTTCTTGATGCTTGGAAGATAGGTCCGCCTTTTCAGTATCGGGTGGTAGGTGTCCACGGAGTATATATGAGACAGCAAAATAGTGCTCTCAGTATGAACAACAAAGTGATATCTATAAATGAATAATACTTACAAGAATGGAGCAGATGGATACTGCTCTATTGCCACAGCGCTGGTGGAATTATCCCCACCTAAGGATTTCTTTGGACGGAATATGCTTCCAGGTAAAAAATTGAATAATAAAAATAATAAAAAATAAATAAATAAAGGTGGATAAAACTATAGTGTTAAATACAAAAAATATATATGAAAAAATAATATATATATATAAAATGCCAGGGGTAAAAAGAAAGTGTATAAAATACAAATAAGTATGCAAATGGTCCTAGTTTTAAAAGGTAACCAAAAATAACTTTTATTGATTAAAATACACTTATTAAAACCATTTACGCGTTTCACCTTTGGGGTTTTCTCAAAATGGTAAAAGAGTTTTACCATTTTGAGAAAACCCCAAAGGTGAAACGCGTAAATGGTTTTAATAAGTGTATTTTAATCAATAAAAGTTATTTTTGATTGCATTACGACCCAATACTATTTACCCAACAACTTAGTATTTTCATGCTTATACGTATTTAACATATAGTTTTATCACATTGGCCTGAAGCTTCATCCCAGCAGGTCCACCAGCCATTGTTGTCTCGTGAACACCACCACCAAGCGTAGCGGCCCAAACTGACGAACATCTAAGTATATCCGTTGGTGGGGATCAAACCCGCGACTCCACCCTTATACCACATCGCGTACATATACCACACCGCGAACGGATGTCGTGGTACCATATCGTGAAATTCTACTATTTCATCAGTTAATTTCTTTGTTTGTCCCCGCTGTTCATTTCTCGAATAGATTCATACTGTGTTCATACAGTGCAGCCCTTGCACTTGCCAAACAGTCCTATTTTTCCTCTCTCATTAGTTCATGTTCCCGCAACCCCAGGCGTCTCTTTGACACCTTTAATTCTCTTCTTCGCCCCTCTGTGGCCACCCCCCAAACCAACCTTACTGCTGATAACTTTGCATGTTACTTCACTGACAAAATTGAACAGCTAAGGCAAGAATTCTCCCCTCCTTGCCTTTCTGTTTCTCAATCACACATTGATCATGCCTTTCCTACCCTTCAGACATTCTCCCCAGCCACTGACCAAGAGGTGGCTGCTCTTCTTTGCTCCTCTCGCCCCACCACATGCCCGCTCGATCCTGTCCCGTCTCACTTTATCAGATCTCTCTCCGCTTGTCTCGTGCCTTCTCTAACACACATCTTCAACTGCTCGCTCTCTTCTGGCATCGTCCCTGCTGACCTTAAACATGCCACTGTAGTACCTATACTAAAAAAACCATCCCTTGACCCATCCACCCCCTCTAACTACCGTCCCATATCCCTGCTCCCTTTTTCCTCAAAGCTTCTGGAAAGACTCGTCTTTACCCGTGTGTCTCATTTCCTCAATTCCAACTCTCTCCTTGACCCCCTTCAATCTGGCTTCCGCCCTCTCCACTCTACAGAGACTGCCCTTATCAAAGTTACTAACGACCTAATCGCAGCTAAATCCAAAGGCCACTACTCCATACTAATTCTTCTTGACCTCTCGGCGGCCTTTGACACCTTGATCATGCTCTCCTTCTTCAAACTCTGCAATCGCTTGGTCTCTGTGACTCTGTCCTCTCGTGGTTTTCCTCTTATCTCTCCCAACGCTCATTCAGTGTCTCTTTTTCTTTTTTTTCTTTTTTTTTTTTTTAAATTTTTTATTTTTGTTGTGCATAGTTTAACAAGATGATAGATGTTGCCACAACAGCAGAGATAATCACAGCAATAACATAGAGTTATACATATGTGGCATTGAGGTGAAAGCACATTTTTTTTAACATTTGTAAAAGCGTGAAACAAGAATGAAAGCCACCGCAGGGTCATGTGAGTGAATGTCATAAAAACACGTTTGGTCTACATATGCCTATGGGTCTGGCCTGCTAACGACAAAAGAAACCAGTGATGATCCTTTACCAGCTAAAACATTGCAGCAAATAAGAGATTACGGTGTTAAAGATTAGTGTCGCTGTAGGTTTAACATAGCCGTTATTCCTGGTTGTGTAAACAATTGGTGTCTATACGCTTGTTCAGTTGTAAAACATGCTAAGTATACACGGATTGGCAATTATATGTAACAAGTGCAGCCGTGGTATTTATCTAGCATTAAACGAGATTATGTTTAAGCCTTTTCCAATTTGTATATACGTCTATGTTGTAGGTAACATGTAATGAAAAAAAAAAACAAAAAAAAAAACTAACAAACAAAAAAAAACTAAGCCTGTTATTCCTAGTCCTGAGTAGGGCTGCTGGCTCTCTATCTAGATCATCATTATAATGTGCTGGGTAATGTTCCGATGAGCATAAAGGCCCAAAGCATAGGGTTAACACAAAACAAGTGAAACTTAGGTAAAGCATATCATGAGTGTCCACCAGGTGATTTGCATGGGGACACAGAATAGAATGAAAAAATATTAAGTAAAAAATAAAATAAAATAAAACATTACAAAAGGGTCTCTACGGTACTAGCAGGATCATGGGCTATGGGCTTCTCCGTGAGTCAGTCCGTGTTGTATCAACCGATGCCCGATCTGGAGGCGTTGTCTGCCTGCTTAGAACGGTGGTCGCCAGTGTCAGTGAACAGCCAGAAGCATGCTGGTATTGCCCTCCTGCTCCAGGCTTGTTGTGGGGCCAGCATCATTTCACCGCGGACTCGGGGACTTTTATAGGCCGGGTCCTTCCCTGAAAAGGTAGGTCTGGAGGCTGCAGTGGTGTTTCGCCGCCTGTGGCGTGCAGGCCTCCACCTATGCGGGGGATGCAACGGGGCTTTGTCCCTCGGGGCCCTCAGCCCGGATGGGCTCGTGCGGGGAGATGCGATCTGTGCAGTGCGTTTTATGCCCGAGGGCTTCCCAGGTCCTCTGTGGTTGACCCTTTCCATGTTCCATGTTGAGTTCTCACTCGCCTGCACCTGTGCTTGTGCGGCAGCGTGTCGAGCCTCCACTTTAGCCCAGAAGTTTGCAAACAGCTTTTCCAGGCGGGTGTCTAGGGATTCGCAGATGCTGTGTTTGGGCTCTGGTGCTGCGAGGCCTTTGTTGGGCTGCGTGTCCGCCATCTTAGGACAGCGAGTGGTTTGCTGCTTTATTGCTAGTTTTAGGCCTGTCTTGTCGTTTACCGACCCTCTAGGCAGATGGGTTTGGACGATTGGGACCGGGATAACCCTCACCAGTCCAAGGGGGGGAGGGGACGCCCGATGCTTCGGGTGCCACATGCTTTGGTGAGCTGGGAGAGCGGCCGCCTCTCCCCTGCTTTGCATGGTGTAGGCCCCAAGCCTTCCGACCCGGCAATCCAGCGGGCAAACCGGGTGTGTGTGGTATCTTCGGGATCTCCAGCTTTGGTATTACACGATGAAGTAAGTTGTGGATCAGGATTGTGAGGCTTTCCCACGATTGTCGTCGAGTATCGGGTCTAGGCTCGGGAGCTCACAGATAGTGCGTCTGTTCAGCTCCCCGGTCAGGCTCCGCCCCCCAGTGTCTCTTTTTCTAATGATACCTCCTCCCCTCGCCCTGTCTCGATTGGAGTCCCCCAAGGCTCCGTCCTTGGTCCCCTTCTATTTTCTCTTTATACTGCTTCTCTTGGCAAACTTATTACCTCATTTGGTTTCCACTACCACCTGTACGCTGATGACACCCAGCTATATCTCATCTCCCCGGACCTCTCCCCTGCTGTCCTGCAACGTGTCACTGCTTGCCTTTCTTCCATCTCTGACTGGATGTCCTCCCACTTTCTGAAACTCAATCTCTCAAAAACTGAGCTCCTTGTCTTTCCTCCTCCTAATACTGATCCTCCTCTTTTGCTCTCCCTTCAAGTTTGTGGTACCAACATCAGCCCATCCTTGCAAGCGCGCTGTCTTGGCATCATACTTGACTCTGGTCTCACCTTTGAGCCTCACACCCAGCATGTTGCCAAATCCTGTAGATTCCATCTTAAAAACATAGCCCGCATCCGCCCCTTTCTTGCACCAGATACTACCAAGGAGCTTGTCCATGCTCTAATAATTGCACGCATGGATTATTGTAACCCTCTCCTGCTTGGTCTTCCCAAAAGCCGTACTGCACCCCTACAGTCTGTAATGAATGCTGCTGCTAGACTGATTTTCCTATCTAGTTGGTTCTCTCACACCTCACCCCTCTGCCAGTCCTTACATTGGCTTCCTGTGTGCTATACGAGTCAATTCAAGGCACTAACTCACACCTATAAAGCACTGAACAACTCTAGCCCCTCTTATATCTCCTCACTGATTAACAGGTATGTCCCTTCTCGGTCTCTCCGCTCTGCCCGTGACCACCTCCTGTCCGTTGTCCGCACCCGTACGGCCAACTCGCGCTTGCAGGACTTCTCGCGGGCTGCTCCCTTCCTATGGAATAGCCTGCCTACCGCCATCCGACTCTCCCCTAGTCTTGCATCTTTTAAGAAGTGCCTTAAAACCCATCTCTTTAGGAAAGCTTATGGCCTCCAAGACTAACCCCTACCTCACATACCTGTCTCTTGCCCTCTCCTAAAGGGCAGCCCACCTTATTTGATCGCAAATTCCTGTACTAATGTGTTTTACACCCCACCTCCTATAGAATGTAAGCTCGATTGAGCAGGGTCCTCTTCAACCTATTGTTCCTGTAAGTTTATTTGTAGTTGTCCTATTTATAGTTAAATCCCCTTTCATAATATTGTAAAGCGCTACGGAATCTGTTGGCGCTATATAAATGGCAATAATAATAATAATAATCCAATTAACAGATAATCAGTTAACGCTAATTAGAGCATTGATGTGTGTCACTCAAGATTTCCAGAGTAAATACTTTATAGTGGCAGATTTATTCACATAACTGTGTGTTAACCAGCAACACCTTATTATAGGTCTCCATTTAACATTAAATAGGACAAACTTGTCTGAGATGCAAATTAACTCAGAATTGCCTTTTCTGGATCTCATGCATTACCCCTAGAGGGCACTGTTACTGCACACATACACACATCTTCCTACAGTACAACACATCTATTAAAAAGAAGGTATGATAAAATACAAATACAAAGAAACTACAAAATACTTTATATAATAGTCCGAACAAAAGAGTAGCCAATTCAAGTAGCAGGAATCTCTTATCCGGAGAAGTTACAGTAAAGAAGGTACTTGGGAGTCGTATCAGTATACAAAAAGAGACAGAGAATTACAAAAATAGCAGAGTATGTCAGGACAATATAAGGTGCCATGGAAATCTAGTGATGTGGAATCAATTAATTGATTATCTTGTGTATCTGCCCCTGGCCAAATTAAGAAGTAGTGCGTGCACGCTCCTAAAGTAATTCACACCAGAGACAGGTTTCGGGTTAATGAAAAACTTGAGGAATGTTTATTCTGGGGGGACGGCATGTCCCTTATAAAGCAAAATGACATCATATGCTTTGTCAGAGATAACATGGAATAATCCATCAATAATTGGTTAGGTGTTAAGTGGTTCATTTAGTGCTCTTCCTACCGGGTGTGATGTCACTGGTATCTTGGAGGTCTCCCCCAGATTCCAGCACCATCTTGTTAATGAGGGTGTTAGTCGATGTCAAAGGGAAACTCGCTAGCGGCCATTTTAGGTAAATCACATAGAAAGTTGAATAATGCTGATTGTAGGTATTCTGAGTAAATAGGCATTTTACTAACATGGATTGAGTTAATATTTTTGTCAACAACACCTTGTATAGTCCTACTCACTTTTTCTAGAGTTCATAATCAGCTGTAGTTTGCAGGGCGTACGGTGGTATAATCCCACAGTAATATGGAGACCATAAAACCCAAAAAAGAGATAAAAAAAAATACCAATAGTGCTCTCTATATATATGGAACCAGGAGTATAAAATAAAAATAATTTACTCACATTTGATTGAGCAGACAAACAGCTCAATGTATAAGGCGTCGTTGTATAATCCCCACCTAAGATTCTTTTGTGAGATTCTCTCTGGAAGCATGTACTGGATGCGAGGTAATAAAATATAAAATGAACAGTAATAAAAAAGGAAGATGGCACAACTCACAGTGTAGACGTAGCCAAAATCACTTTATTAAAATTAATATTAAATTCCACAACGCGTTTCACCAAATTAGGGCTTTTTCAAGTGGCTATAAGAGATCAGACTTCTACCCTGCAGATAACAATCACTGCAGGGGAGTAGTGAGGGTGAGTATTGTGAGAAAGTTTTTTTTGGTACAGGAGATGGAACTGATTAAGCTCCACGTTGTGTCAGAGAATGTCAAGCGTAATAAAAATGCACAAGACGAAGTAGTCTCTACTTTGTCTTTTTTTCTTTTCAACCCCTTAAGTACACATGACCGAAATATTTCATCATGATTCCCTTTTATTTCAGAAGTTGTGTCCTTAAGGGGTTAAAGGAACACTATAGGGTCAGGAATACAAACATTAGGGTTAAAATCATCATTTAGGTGGCTTGACCCTCTTAGCCCCCTTAGACGGTGATACAACATACCTTATTTCCAGCGCTGCGCAGATCCGCCGGCACTGGCCCCAGTCCTCCTCCTTGGTGACATCATCAGAATTTACAAATTTTAGCCAATCCAATTTTTTTTCTGTAGGAAAAGCATTGGATTGGGGGCGTAGCCAAACACTGTTTTGAGCAATCAGCACCTCCTCATAGAGATGCAGAGCGTGGAGACGCTGAATGGCAGTGCTGCCTACTGTGCAGCACTGCCCCAGGAATCACCTCCAGTGACCATCTGAGGAGAGGCCACTGGAGTTGTCCCTAGGGGGCAATGAAAAGGCAGTGTTTGCATGAAAATGTAATGATTTTACTCATAAGAACAACTACATTAAGCTGTTGTTGTTCTGGTGACTATAGTGTCCCTTTAACCCCTTAAGGACCAGACTGTTTTTGCGATGTTGTACATTTGTGACCAGGCATCTTTTTACACTTTTGTGGTGTTTGTGTTTAACTGTAATTGTCCGCTCTCTCATTTACTGTTCCCATACAAATTATATATTGTTTTTTTCAGGACGAAAGGGGCTTTCTTTACATACTATTATTTATATAATCTCATGTAATTTAATTTTTAAAAAAATGAAAAAATATGATGAAAAATTGAAAAAAATACATGTTTTTTGACTTTTACGTGAAAAATCTTTTACTCATCTACAAAAGCGAATGAAAAAAACTGCTAAATAGATTCAAAATTTTGTCCTGAGTTTAAAATTACCCAGTGTTTACATGCTTTTTTGCTTTTTTTTGCAAGTTATAGGGCTATAGGTACAAGTAGGATATTGCGGTTTCAAAACATACATTTTTTTCAAATCTATCAATAGTGACATTGTAACACTATTATCTGTCATAAATCTCTGAATAACACCCCACATGTACATTTTTTTTAAAGTAGACAACCCAGGGTATTCAATATGGGGTATGTCCAGACTTTTTTAGTAGCCACTTAGTCGCAAACATTGGCCAAAGTTAGCGTTCATATTTGTTTGTGTATGAAAAAAGTAAAAAACTAAATTGAACGCTAATTTTGGCCAGTGTTTATGACTTAGTGGTTACTAAAAAAGACTGGATATACCCCATTTGCAATACCTTGGGTTGTCTTCTTTTGCAAATGATATGCCATCATGGGGGTAATTCTCATTCCTGGGCTACCATACGCTCTCAAAGGCAACGTAACCAACCTGGCCATTTTCAATGTAAAAATATTTGACCTATATATTTGACCTTGTAACTTTCAAAAATGCTATAAAACCTGTACATGGGGGGTACTGTTTTACTCGGGAGACATCGCTGAACACAAATATTAGTGTTTAAAAACTGGAAAACGTATCACAACAATTATATCATCAGTAAAAGTGCTGTTTGTGTGTGAAAAATGCAAAAATAGTAACTTTCACTGACAATATCATCGCTGTGATATGTTTTACTGTTTTGAATCACTAATATTTGTGTTCAGCGAAGTCTCCCGAGTAAAACAGTACCCCCCATGTACAGGTTTTCGGGTGTCGTAGAACGTTACAGGGTAAAATACAGTGCTAGCAAATTAAATTCTCTGGACCTTCGGCCTGGGTTGGCAGGCAGGTCCCTCAAATTGCAATCAATAAAATTACTTAATTATGTAAAAATATTACATAAATACACACGTAGAATTTAAATATATATGCATATTTATATATTTGAAGTCTACGTGTATATTTATATAATTATTTATGTAATTTTGTATATGGACATATGTATATTTCGTATTATTTTTATTTATATATACATAGATATATATACAATTTCATTCTAAGTGTATTTTGATATATATAATTTTTTTTAATTTTTATTATTTTAAAATTTTTTTATTTAATTTAAATTACTTATTTGTATTTTATAATAATATATATATACAATATATATAGTT